AAAAAATTGTGGTTAATTTGAATGAACAAAAGGTATCAACTTTGCTGCAGTAGCAGCTGATGAATTCGCTTTGACCCATAAGAATGTGTTTGTAAGTCAGCATGGTAACTCTACACAAAACTTTCCCCAGAATAAGGATCCTCCCTCTCCAAGACAAAAGCAGCTTTCCCCTTTTCCAAAGGCTGAAAGGGAATACTATTATTGTCATAAGCTGGGCCATGTTGTTACAGAGTGCTTAGCCTTAAGACGCAAACATCAATCAGCTGAGGGTTAGCTGACAAAAGGGTTGGGGGTAATTAAAACCGTTTTATCAAAGAGCATGGAAGAGAGTCTGCAAGAAGAACCTGACCCATGTTTCAAGCCATTCATATTTGAGGGATCTGTGTCCTTAACCTGGCAAACCAGTGGATGAACAACCTATAAAAATTAAGGATACTGGTGGGTCTCTGTCTTTAATATTGGCTGATGTGTTGCCTCTAAGTTAGATTTCCCCCTGCAAACTAGCACCCTAGTTGAAGGAGTTGAAATGGGTTATGTTCCAACTGCTATGCAATGTGTGCATGTTAAATCCAGGTTGATCAGTGGGGCTTTCAGTGTTGCAGTACGACCCTCTTTTCCTATGAAATGGGTTGAGTTCATCATGGGTAATGATATTGCTGGAGGGAAAATATATCCTGCACGTGACGTCACAGGTAACACCGAAGCAAACTTGGGTGTGGATGAATTGTCAAAATCCTACCTATCCATTCTTTTCTGCTAGTGCTCTTATCGGGGCTCAGTCTAAGCGCATGGCAAAGGAAGCAGGTTCCGCTGACTCAAGGTTGGCTTCAATACTCGCTGGTGAAGGAGCCTCCTCAGTTTCAAGTAGCAATGTGCATGAAGGTACAGAGCTATTGGAAGTAAAGCATGTTTTGGAGGTAGAGCCCCCTAGTCCACCTTCAGTGACATTGCCTGTCACACATGAAGCACTTATCGTTGCCCAGACAACTGACTTTGGCTAAATGCTTTGTTTCCATATCTGAGACAGGAGGGAAATGCTGCTCATGTTATTTTTTGCAGGACACAGCATGTTATTGGAGTACTGTGTACCAAATTGTGGTTCCTTCTGCCGATCACCATCATGTGTTATCTCTTGCACATCACCACCCATTGCTTGGACATGTAGGGATTACAAAAACATATAACAAGGTACTCAGCCATTTCTTTTGGCCTGGATAAAAGCTAATATGTTGCAGTTTTGCCGCACTTGTAAAACCTGTCAAACTGCAAGAAAACCAAATCAGGTAGTCCCTTCTGCTGCTCTCTAGCCTATCCCAGCAATTGGTGAGCCTTTCAAGCATGTGCTTGTGGACTGTGTTAGCCCATTGCTGAAGATAAAAGCTGATAATCAGTTCCTTTTAACAATGTATATTGCATCACGCTTTCCAGAGGCAATCCCTGTCAGAAGAATCACTGCTCCTCTTATTACTTTAACAAACTTTTCTTTTTTTTTAACCACCTTCCCAGAATAGTTCAGACATACCAGGGCACTAATTTTCACTCCAAACTTTTCAAATAGGTCATGCAAACTCTAGGGGCTAACCATGTTATCATTCCAAGAAAGATGGCATCAGACTTTTAAATCTATGTTGCAGAAGTACTGTTTGAATACTGGTAAAGATTGGGATGTACCACTGATGGGTATTTGCTATATGGGAAGCTAAACAAGAATCACTGGGCTTTAGCCCAGTTGAAGTTATTTTTGGTCATTCAGTTAGAGTTCCCTTAAAGTTGCTTGAAGAACAGATTGTCACCTGACCTGTCAAAACTAAGGTCCTAACTGCTACTGTTGCCTTTCTGTTCCTAGTCTATTTAGCCCTAAACAGCCATTTGTATGGAGTGGTGACTGCCAGTATATGCTAAAGCTCTTTTGTCCAGCTCACCTGTCCTTGCTGCTCCAGATTTTTCCAAACCCTTTAAAGTGGAGGTAGATGTTACTGATGTGGGGGTGGGGCTGTCCTTCTCCAAGATGATGCCAAGGGAGTGAGCCACCCAGTATGCTACTTCTCCTGTAAGTTTAACAAGCATTAAAAGAGATATTAAACAACTGAGAAGGAAACCCTGGCCATGCTTCTTGCCCTTCAGCCCTGAAGTCTATGTGGATCAACTCCACAATCCGTGAAGGTTTATACTGATCACAACCCCCTTGTGTTTCTGTCACGTATGTACAGCAACATCCAGCAGCTGACGAGGTGGGCTTCTGGTGAAGCACAAAAAAGGATGTGACAGTGTGATGGCAGCTGCCCGTTCAATGGTGTAGCTGTTTAGGGTGTGATAAAGTTAACAAACATATGTTTAATCTTATGGGTGGAGGTGTTACATTCCTCAAAAATAATGTAAAGACTGTGAAGAGGTAATGTGCTGCTTTCAGGTTCCCGGTCTCTGGGTTCCCTCCTTGTTTTCCTTATTGGCTATTGGTCTCAATATATAATATAATAATGCAAAATATAATAATGCACATTGTCTGTGTCGCTCTGAGAGCCCGACTTCGCCTAGTTGGACTTCTACTATACGGATCTAATAAATCTTTAAGATATAATATTCCATCTCTATAACAACATGGCCCAGCTTATGACGATAATAGTATTCTCTTTCAGCCTTTGGAAAAGAGGAAAGCTGCTTTTGTCTTGGAGAGGGAGGATCCTTATTCTGGGGAAAGTCTTGTGTAGATCGCGCAAAACCCTCTCAATTTGAAATTCCCTTTTTATTATTTGTGCACCGATTGCAATTGGTTGCGCATCCATGAATGGCGAGGCCATGACTGAACGGATTTCCTTGCACGGACACTGATTAAGTGTGTGAGCTAATCCTTGTTTACGTAGAACAAACCTGCTCCGAGCAGGTTTGAGGATTTGGATGTACTGCCTTGACAACACATCCAGCAAGAGTTTCGAAAAACCGACAGATCCAGGATCATGCCAAATCGTCAACAGTTACATCCGGATAAACGAGTAATTCATGTGTGAAAAATACCCCCCGGTGCTTTTTTTTATTATTATAGCAGAGCACTAGTTCTTTGTGAGAGCTCTCTGTTAGGCTATGCCTTCTGGGATGCTACTGGTTAGGTGAGGTTTCATGCATTTCCTGTAGCTGCTGGTCACACAAAAACTGATTCAGCCTTTGTTTTTCTGTTATCTTTGCCAGAGAAAATTTGTAGGAGAGAGCTGCCATTTTAGTTTAACACCTTTTTGTCCTGTTTTTCAAATGAGTGATTAGGGAGTTCAGTTGCAGGTTTGTATGTTTTCTTTTGTAAGTTAATAATTTATGGTCATTTTTGTTCTAACATAGGGCTTTGTTTTGTTTCTTGTGTTGGCCTTGGCTCTCCCTGAAGTCAACTTATGCTTTCTGTGAAACCCCCTGGTAGCAATCATGGTCCTCCATCTAGTGCAATGTTGATCCCCTTACCTCTAGGCCAGCTTGGGGACATAACACTTTGGTTCATGAGGTTGATAAGCCTACACTGCACATTCATTTACATGTTAGTCTAATATATGTCCTCCAAAAAAGCACCCTGGAATAGTCCTTAGTAGTCAATACTGAAGCACATGACATTCTCTTATGTTTAGACAGTAACACAACTTTTCTCTCAGCCATTGTGCCATTGCTCGTCCCAAGATCAATGATATGCACACATACTGGTGCACGCAGTATGGGGAGATGGGTTCGTGCACCTAATCTGCGAAAATCATTTACGATTAGATGATTAAAGTTGTTAATTTCGTATTTTATTTTTAGGTTCTACCCAGTTCTGATTAATGTAATATTTTGAAGGATTCCCAGTGTTATATTTATAAATAACAGCACTTTCTCTCATGTGGCAGTCAAGCAGTTTATGCATGGAGCGAAGAATCAATTCTTGAGCCATCGACGTCAACCAATCAGGTGTTCCGGCACCAATTATGGTCGTTCTTAAGAAGCTCTCCCATAAGCAACCTAAGAGATTGTTCGGGAAACATACATAGGAAAACAAATACCTTTCGTAAGCTTTATCTTTAGAGTCTTCGTAAGACGTTAAGAGTCACCATTATCGGGAAACCGAGCCCAGATTATTATATGAGAAGAAAACAGGACCCAGAGAAATTTTAGTGCAAATATGGACGGAACATGTGAATGAGCTAAGTTACAATAACCAGGTAGCTAGTGTGAATCATGTATATACAAAGTTTACATGTTGAAATCCATGTAAATATGGATGACTTCACTGAGGGGTAGTAGTTGCCCAATTTAGCCTTTTTGAATGAAGGATTATGACAGATATTGGTCATTGGATCCTTATGGAGGTACCAAAATTGATGTCTACATACTTTGAGCTGTGGGGTGCTTTGTTAGTCATAAAAACAAACTAGAAGTGCACATTTAAACTGGAGTCCATGTTGAAATATATATTTCTTTTAAAAGTTATGATCTGAAAATGACTCTGATAGAAACCTTTATAATTTTATCATTTTTGGACTTTTATTTTGATTTTTAATTTTAATATATATACATACACACACACACACACACACACACACACACACACACACACACACACACACACACACACATACATACATACATTTGACCAACTTCCAGAACTAACAAAGTATATTTAAATGCTACTAAAATTAGGAGAAATTAAGTGAATTGCAAAAAACGACACAAAAAACGGCGATAATACTGCATATCGTGGCATTAAGCCACCCTAAATCACTGCAGGGGAAGTTGATTGACCGCGACAGCCCTAATCCGGATAATACTCTTTTTATATGTTTAAACTGTAGGGGTTTAAATGCATAGTTTGAAAGTAATTGTATATGCAATAAACCATTAAAAAGGGGGTAAAAGTTTATCCCATCCCCAAGCTTTCCTGCCTGGACCGATTACTAGGCCTATGTGTAGAGATTTGGTATACAACTGTAATTCATTCAGAATGGAATCATTACCATTATCAGTTATGGTAACAGCACAGGAAACAACCATGTTTTTCATTCTGTTTATTCATAGGTTCCTGTGTCTTGGGGAACACAAGGGTTTATACAACCAAGCAAATAAATCATACATTGGAATAAGACACCTATTATCCAACAAGTCAATCATATTAGATGGATATAAAGCTTATCTGTACAGCATGTACAGCAGCTTAATTTTAACCCAAATAATGAGAAAGTGAATTTTATTAGTATTGTGCTTTACAAATCTCAGCAAGATTACTTGTTGGCTAGTAAAAATATGCACAAAATACAATTTTGTACAGGAATCAACAAATGGGAATGACCTTTGTAATAAACACTTCAGACAAGAGTGGGCCAGTAATGTGTCACACATGAAATAATTCCAGTGGAAGTGGAAGTCCTTAAGTATGCTACAAAGCACCCTTTGCTCGTAGCTTGGACAGCAACATCTCATTCTTCCTGCATTCCTAAGGGTAAACAGGCAGAGGTAATACTTAATCATGGGCACATTAAATAGGGTGTGAGTCTTGCTTTTAGAGTTTAACCATTCAGCCAGTTTTGTTATTTGTACAGAGTAATTTGTAACCTATTAATTGGAAATTTGCAAAAACATTAAAGATGGAAGCATTTGAAAATTTGTGAAAATATTGGCTTGTTTTGGCAATGAATATCTGCAGGTCTATCTGTAACAGATGAAGTGTAGCACCACCATCTGGCCAATTTGTGCAACTTTTGGGGGGGGAGAAGGAAATGAAGTCAATGGGTAATAGCAATTGCATCTGCCAAGTTTCGTAGGTTGCTAACAATGCTTTGGGCAGAAGAGCATTAATGAATATATATTATACCCAAGTAATGCTAAAGACAGCTGTGTAAACAATATACTAGGTTCACCTAACCAAAATGATTATCAATCTAGAAACCCATAGAAAACCCTACCTCTTTGAAGTCCTTGATTGTCTTAAAATACAGCCTCTGCTTTTCAAGAAGCTCTAAATACTCATCGTTGAGTTGGTCCCTCCTCATTTTATTCTCCTGTTTCTTCTTTTCCATCTATAGTGAGTGTGGGAAAGTGACAGACCAGGTCAAATCTATGAAATGAAAGGATTTAACCTGCCAACTGAAACTATGATTCTAAAGCTTTCATACAAATTGCATTGTTCTCTTAGTGGGAACAGACTACATCTTCCTCAAATTTTTTTAATTTTAAAACCAGTGAAAAAAGGTAAAAGAAGAATCATAATGATTTCAAAATGAATACAGCATTCAAAATTAAGCTTTACATGCTTTTACACTTTGCTATGAGCTGCATATACACATTATATTCTATAAATTAAAGGATGCGAATGGGAAACACAAGCTGTATGAAGAAAAATTAGCACCTTCATTCTGTTTTGCTTGATTCCCTCCACAATCTGCTCCATTTGCCGGAGGAACTGCTCTTTAGCTCCTGAAGATGCCATAGCTCTGTGTAACAAATAATTAACAAAAGGAAAATCACTAGCATTATGCAAACAGCAGCAGATCCTTCCCTAATCATTAAAAACGAAACACAGCTGTGTTCAGAAGATGTACAAGTCATAATGCTACTGCAGGGGTTGGACAATGAAACTGAAACATTGACCAATACACAGTCTGGTCGCCATCTTCACTGATTGCCCATTCCATCAGTAAGAATAAGTGGAGCAATAGCACAGCTCTACATAAAATATTGCAATCCACATAACATAATGGGAGTTCAAAAGAGGACAAATTGTTGGTGTGCGTCTTGCTGCCATATCTGTGCGTCACTGCCAAGGGCTACCAAACCATTCTGGAGGACCATGTTCATCCAATGGTTCAAACATTCTACCCTGAAGTTGATATCATGTATCAGGGTGATAATGCACCAATACACACAGCAAAACTGGTGACAGAGTGGTCTGATAAATGCAAAAATGAAGCTGAACATCTCCCATGGTCTGCACAGTCACCAGATCTGAATATTATTGAGCCACATTTGGGGTATTTTGGAAGAACGAATCTGGAAACGTTTTCCTCCACCAGCATTACGTAGTGACCTGGCCACTGTTTTGCAAGAGGAATAGCTCAAAATCCCTCTGGCCACTGTACAGGACTTGTATCTGTCATTCCCAAGATGATCTGATGCTGTATTGGCTGCAAATGTGGCCCTACACCATACAAATAAATTATTGTGGTTTAAAACCAGGTGTTTCAGTTTCATTGAACAACCCATGCTGATACATGTATTAATTCTTGGACGGGAAAAAAACACACTCACTGTTGAAAATTGTCATGGATGGAATTTAGCAAGTTCACCTAAGGAGAGAACAGCAAAACTGTAAAATCATCCCTGGGACATCTGAACAGTATTAAATACTAATTATAATCTGTATCATATTACAAGTAAATTGTGAAAAACTGGTGCTCAAGTTGAAATTTAGGATTCCTAAATAACAAAAATGTCAGTGAAGCATTCAAGTTGCTGCTGAAGCTAAATCCTTCCAAACAGTCAAACCTTTCATGTTAATTTGTGCAGTTCGAGTTACTGTCATGCTTTGTGCCTTCTTGAAATTGTGCTGAGAGAACATAATGTTCCAGTCAAGCTTTACAATACAAGGAACCTTCTGAGAAACCATTTCTGATATTTTCTTCAAAGTTATCATCCATCCATAAATATCTGCAAATATGCCCTTGGCACTAACGACAGCTTGTAAAATTTTCTCATATCCGACAGGCTTCTGTCAAACAGGTTCTAAGCAATCAATCTTCACCCCCATAATGAATGAGAGGCATTTATTCACAAACAACTAAAACAGACAGGGTATGGGGAAACTTAACTTGTATATATTTTTTAAAGATCTTACCTCTTTTTCCAAAAACACTTTCTTGTCATCCAGTGTGTTGTAGAGGGTGAAGAACTGTTTGGTTTCCTTGTGTGTTGCTGAAACTTTAACATTTTTTATGTCAAACATTTTTTCCTTCTGAAAAATCATATACCAATTATATAAAATAACTTGGCTGTGCTTTATGATACTTTTAGCCAGTGTTTTAAAAAATGACTGAAAATCCACAACTCACAAGCTTTTCAGTCAGAAAGCTTGAAGTATTAACGATACGCTAACCATACAGATTGATATTAAACAATGGAGGTTTGTGCTTAAACGGAGTGGATGTGCAGAAGTATTAAACGTGAAAAACAACTAAGGGTTAAATGGCAGTTCTGGTAACCAACAATTTCAAAAAAGGAAAACACCCAAAACAAGTACAACACAAAGCAAATGGCAGAGTACATACCCTGCCCATAAAGCTCAATAAATCTCTTCTGATACTGGGTTAGTTCTGCACGACTTGGCACTTCATCAATCTTCCTCTGCAGTATGGCAATTTCCCTGTTTCTTCGGGCCTAGACGAGACCAGACATGAGAGCAAATGGATTGTTGGCCTGACAGTATGGTATTTGGCAAAAAGAATGCAGGGTAACAGTATAGATAACGAAAATGATGTAGATCTGGTTGGGTAATTTAAAAAATGGTTGCATTCTGAAATGGTATACTGTCAAACAGAATGAATAATCTTCCTGTTCCTATGTGAATTACAGAGTATAAACACATTTGAAAATACAGAGTATCTATGCATGCAGATGTGAGATTCTGCTGTTAGAATTCATGTTCACGACACAAAAAATATGCATACTACACATTATTGATATACAAGCAAATAAGTTTCCAATGACTTATTCTTTTTATGAATTTTCGAATCAGTCAGAATATAAAATATAATATATAGAATATAAAAGAAGAAATTGCTGAATATATGTGAGATATATATATATATATATATATATATATTTATATATATATATATATATTTATATATATATTTATATATATATTTATATATATATTTATATATATTATATATATATATATTTTTTTTTTTTTTCTTTCCCCCCCCCCCCC